AAGCTTTACTCTCCAGACTTGGCAGCTGGCACTTAAGTTATGGATGCTGCACCTGCCAAGCAGTTCCAGAAAGTTCAGAAGAGAGGGATTATTAAGGCATTTCCCTGCTTCCCCTTTTTCATTCCTGATTTCTAGGGATGTGCCAACTGCTAATTAGCATAAGGCAGAAACAGCCTGTGGCTGGCTCTGATTACTCACAGCTTTACCTGGGTAGCCTCTCCCATGCCTCCCCCATCAGGCTGTGAAATCCCTGCAAATTTAAGGTTGCACTTCAGTAATAATCTTGGAAATTCAGATCCTTCTCTCGTATACAAATCAGAGTAGAAGTATACTTATGTAAAAGCTTACTGTCAGTTGTAAAATGTAACTCAGAGGAATATTCAAGTCACTGTTTGTTTCCCCACACATGCCGAAATCTCCAGGCAAAAGGCTGCATCCTTGGTGAAATGCCAGCTCCTCTGCCAGGTGTAACAGCAGCCGAAGGGGGATATAAGATTTCCAGTGCTGAAATGGCAGATTTGTCCATGTGGACCCTACTATGATCTGACCTTGCCTACATGTGCACTTTGCTTTGCTTTTCCTGCTTCTTTCCTTCACAGATCCTGAGCACTGCAGAACCAAGCTCACTACCAAGAGTCTTGTTATGTGACAGCAGAGGAAGGCAGAAATGGTACGCAGGAGAAACTATGCGTCCAATTTTAGCTCACCTCTATTTCTCATAGCATAAGTTCAAAGGCAGCAAAGTTGCTCAGTCTGCTCCCATTAAAAGCCGTAACAGTTTTCCCATCACATTCAATAGAGGGGCTTTAGATTAGGAAAAGCATAGGTCATTGAATTCAGACAAGATACACTTAAAGAGACCGAGTTGTGACAAAGGTGGTATTTTCAACAGTGCATAGTGCCCAACCTCCATCCTATTCGGCAGGACTGTAAAAACCCAACAGAATAGCACATCAACAGTGGAGAAAAAAAAAAAAAAGGAAAAGACAAGGAGGCAAACCCCTATGACTTACTGTGGTCAGCACTCACTGTGCAACTCCGTTTGGCCCAGCTGCCTTTTCCTCAGAACAAAAGGGCAGCTATATAAGCAATCCTTGCTTTTCTAACAGCCAACTACCTGCGCCTGGTCCAGTGCTTAGAAACCAACTCTCACATCTATGTGGGAAGGAAGGATGAAGCTGGAAAAACTTCCTTTACACACACCTGTATCCCATCTCATATAAGCTGGGAGCCATCATGTGAGTCCAGCCGGTGAGGAATCTCAAAGGCCCCACCTGCAGCCAATGAGGCAGATGGGGCAGAAAACCAGTTTAACCACACAACTGAAGAGAAGCACAGGACCTGCGAGGTTTTGAAGGAGTATGATTGCTATCATGACAAACAGTATGATACTTTTGATATTTTACTACTAAATAGCTTTCCAGCCATAAGACCTGAAAATAATTAACTAAATATAACCTAAAATGAAGGTTGAGCTTGAACATGCCTTAAAAACTGGAGAAAGTTGAATGTGGCCCCCAAACTAATCAGACAATGCTGGGACAAGAGGGAAAGGAGCCGCAATCAATATGATAAAACATACATTTAAATGTGAATATAAAACTAAGGTTTGCTACTATCAGACCCTAAAGTGTGAACTCATGCACAGAACTCATCTTTCTCCTAATAAGAATGCTGTTAACTTGCCACTTTAAAATGGGTAGGCACTGCAGAGAGAACACACTACACTCCTTGACTCTGGATGAAAGCCACTAAGAATATCAAGACTCCTTAATAATACCAGTCTAAATGATTTAAATAGCACTTAAATGAGAATCAATACCTCTACCATCTTCCTCTATTGCTCTTAACTCTCACTAATGCCAGCCACTTCCCAGGCACAAATAGCTTTGTGCCCAAGGCCATCTACTGGTGAGTGGGCTCTGCAAATTAATGGAGTTTTTGTTGGCCAGATTTAATTAGTGCTTCTCAAGATTTAGACATGCATGGAAGCTGTGCCAAGCAGCTGTTTACAGCCCAGCAGTGTCAGTAATTAGTAAACATAACCACAGTATCAGATGAACAACTAAATAAACGAAGGCTTCCCAAACTCCACATGAGCCTAAAGAAACATGCTCTCATCCAGGGGAGAATAATGTGGTACTCTGAATCTCCATCCCCAGTTCAAGTGTAGTTCAGACATCTTGTAACCTCACTGTTCTGTGTAACATGAGTCAGAAATGTCAGTGTTGCTAATCAAGACACAAATTTCACCCTAAAAATCACTACCAGACCCAGTAATACTGTTTTCAAGAATTACTGGGGTCTGAATTAAGAAGCTGGGAGGCTAGAAGTGCAAATATTTTAAATCAGTATGTATGGGGATTTACAGGCTGTACACCATAATTACAATTGTATTTGTCCTCCTGACTTAAAGCAACAGAAATGGAAGTCCGGAAAAGAGTTGGAAGGGAAATAAAGTACATCCAAAAACTTACACACTGTGATTGCTAAGGTAACATCTAAGAGAAATCAGCAAGTTTGGGAACACAAGCATCTGTGACACAGAGCCACCCACAGTTTTCTGGTGTTCCCTGTTCAGCATCATTATTCCTAAATCATGAAGATGTTTCTAATAAAACATTACCTTTAGGTCTTGTTTAAAATTCTGTAACACTTAAGTTAGTGTCATGATTTTCAAAGTTGTTTGAATGGCAGCATTGGAAAACCCTGAATTACAAAACAATATTCTCCTCCATCTGTCTAAGATCAAGATGAAGCAAACTTAATCCTTTACTTCATCCTTTTTGCCGTGAGAATTTTGGACAATCTTTATAAGAAATGCATTCACTAAGAGCTAGCTTGAAGACACTACAAACATTTCTAGTCTTGGATCACAGGTTTGGGTAGATACTTTTGGCTGGCAATGTAGAAACCGGAAGGTCCAGATCTGCCTTAACAAGCAACATGGAAGAAAGGTGTTTCCACAAGAGATAATGTGGATGCCGTAGGGTGACACATGCCCCTCACTGACATTCACTTCAGTCTAATTAACTGCTTTGACAACCAGATTTATGACAGAGAATTTATGGATGGGAGGTAAAAAGGAGAGTCAAAGCTTCCTGTAAGCTTCCATGCCCTCATCTTTAAGACGTACTTTTGTCCATTCCTTCCAAGTGGGTGTTTTTTTTTTTTATTGGGGGTGGGGTGGGGGCGTGTAGGGTGGGCATGGTGGGGGTGTTTTTTTCTGAAACCAGTATCAGACTGTAAATCCAGTTTAATTGCACCAGTTTTATTCACTGTGGAAGAAAACCACTTTCCAGTATGGTATGCTGATTAATTTATATGCCTTCCCAATTTATTTATTGTGCAGTAAGGCCATCTCTGATGGAGTAGTCCCTAGGATGATTTTTTCAATTAAGATCAGAGCAGAAAAAGCCTGAACATCCAACAGCTGTCCCCCTCAGCCTACAAGACAAATACAACTTTGAAAGAACAAAATAGCACATATAAGTTTCCAATGAAATCTCTTTCTCCAGCAAAACTGTGTTAGCAATTTGGAGCATGTTCATACTGAATCACAATTTTATACTGAACAAAAAAAATTGTTTCATTATTAGCCATACAGAAGGGTCTACTCTGCCTTTGCTTCCAAAATGGAGCACACACTAGCAAAAGGGCAATCCCTCACCAGTTGTGACAGACTCCTGGTTTTGATATATTCCAGCAAACAAAAAATATACTAATGAAGTAGCCCAAATTAAAAATTAAGATATACTAGCATTTCTAGACAGATCTGCTACTTCATGTGAAAGCAGGCACTCCTGAATATAAACATGGCTTCACTGCTTTTGTCATCTTTTACTCCACAATAATGACTTCTTTCAGAAGCGCCATCTGCACACTTCACTAGTGTTCTGCTTGTTTCGCCCGTTACTTTGTTATATGCAGCTGATTGCAGCTTCTTGCAACACATCTTTCAGTGGCCAAACTGGACCTGCTACCATTTAGCATCACCCCAGTAAATGGCCCAGAGATTAATAAACATTTTTCACTTTGCCTCCAACTTTTCCAGACTGACTGCACACAAAATAGCTATATATATTTTTAAACACACAATTCTGTTTCTCCCCTGAAGACAAAGCTCTCTGTCATCACTGCACTTTGTCCAGAGGACTTATCACAAATTCTCCATTATAAGGCCAGGCTGCTGCTACTACGGTAGTGCAAAATACCACAATTATTTTGCAAAGATTTGACATAAAATCTTGTTGATAAGCTTTAAACATTCTTCTCATTAAACCACTGCATCGAAAGTGCTCAAGTACCAAGAATTTAATTTATGCTTTTCAATCACAACTGCTGTGAATCACAGTGATTATACTTACTTCACACTTTCAAAACACTGCATGAATCTCTACAACATGCCTGCGTAGAAAGTTGGGTTTATCTTTAAAGTTGAGATAGGGGATTAAAAAAAAACTGTTACGATGTTCTACTATTGATCTGCATATAAAAATCTCAAGCTACTTACACCAGGGATCTCAAGCTCCAGAAACAGAGATAATCTGAGAATTGGGAAATTGTTACGTTGCAACATATCATTTTAATGATCTGCTCAGTGACTCAACAAGCACTGCAGAGGACTTCATTTAGTTTCACTGTCAGGTCCTCTTCTAAATGCATGGGTTTTGACTGATTTTTCTTTCATAAACCTCAAAACTTGGAATTGCCTGTATGTTACTGAACTGAAAGGAGTGTTGCTTTAAATTTTTTAAAACACATATCTTTGATCCATCTTCCCAGTGCAATGCTAGAAGTTTTCTCTTACTCCAATCCTGTACCAGGTACTGATAATGGCTCTAACTTTCTTAATCTCAAATATATTCAAAAGCAAGATTACCTTAAAATGAACGGCTGAGGCTAGACAATCTAAGAAGTCCATCTACCTCTATTTCATCTTGCACATTATTCAGTTATATATTGTGCAGTCCCTAGGGAAAAAACAAACATGAAAACATGAAGAGCCACCAGCCATGAATGTGTTTTTTATCTAAGAGTAGTACCATTTCTTCTCAGAATCTAAGAATCTAACACACCGGCCTGTGTGAAACTGTGCTGTGTAAATGCCTTGAACAAGCATTAGTACCAATTAAACTTGTACTAGCCTGTTGCAGGGAAGAGGCTTTATTCTAGTGCTGCAGCACCATGCAAGTTTCAGAAACAATTTTGGGAAATCAAACATACAAAATTCATCCCTCTTTTGGAGGAGAGGACAGAAGGGGGGGTGGGGGAAGAGACCCCAAAAAAGCCTGACACTTGTAACATCGGAACATTTACAATGGTACATAAAAAGACTGTAGAAAGCATTTATTCCAATAGCCTTGGATGTTCAATCCGTGTAATTGTCCAGTCTGGTTTTGCTCCTTCTGTGAATTCCCTTTGGAATCTGGAAAAGGAAAGACAGTAAGTGAAGAGTTGTTGAAATTTACTCACTCCTTAAAGAGCTACTAACACCAACGAGAACCATGAAGAAATATTTTACTCCAAAGTTATTCCTGCAAAATCTCTTTAGACTTGGATGCTTATGCCCCAAAATGGAAGATCAAAATTAATTCTACAGTAAGAAAAAAAAGTGCCTTGACTTGAGTGTTTTGGTTCAGATCCCACAGACAGGATCAAGCAGCAACAGTGAAGACCCTGATACCAAGACGAGTCAGTTTTCATAGCAGTAACTATGAATATAGCTTTGTGGCAGATCTTCATCCCTAAATAAAGGATTTCATTTAGTGGGATGGTAACTGCATTGTAAAAGGAAATCATATGCTATGCATTCTACCTGAAAATTTTCAGTTTTACTGAACTTCACTTTAAAAAGTCGTGTCTTTTCAGAAATACATCAAATACCAAGCTAGCATACTGAATATCCCTGAAAGAAAATTTTGTAGCCATCAATGCCTTCCTCCCTAAGCATGTCAGTTTTGACTGCTTGCCATCCAAAGGTAAGTCTGAGCTTCAAACTAAATAGTCATGCTCCCAAGTATGCTGTGGACAAGAGCAGTGTAACCTCACTGCTTTGCAACTACATGTAAACCCACTCCTGGAAACTGTCTTCTCCAGACACCCAAAGGCCTCCAGTGCCTTTGCCCATCTGAGTGTAGGTTAGCACTGCAAACAGCAGAAGGAACACATACTTGCAAAGATGTCTCTGCTGGGGATTGGGAACAGGTATTTAGGGCTTTAAGGGGAGGTTCTTGAGGTTAATGGAGCCTCAGAAGCCTCCAGCTCTGAAAAAGATGCTGAATTCAGCTAAGGGATGGATCCACAAAAATCCATCCAGGCAAAAAGCACTGTTGTTCGCAGAGCATTTCCTTTATTTCAGAGCTCCTCATCATCTAGACTCTATAGTACACCCACGTTTGAAATGGAGGGACAAGTAATTGATTATATTGCATTTCGCTCAAAAATCCTCACTTTTTACAACTTCTGAGGATGTAATTTAAGTACATTTGCCAACCGCACAGACATTTCTGCACTGCTCTGAGATCAGAACGCTAATACAGACATTATTTACTAGCATTTCAATGAAAATCCATCTACCTAATGTGTGCTTTGCGGGCGTGAATCAGAGTGGTGTGAATGATCTGAATGCCAGGTGATGCTTGCTTTGTTCTGCCTTTCTGCAGAACGCATTTGGCTAAAAATTTTCCTCTTTCCTGAGCTACTTTTTCAGCTAATTGCAGTTCTGTCTTTTGTGTGGGAAGTGACAAGTCAACAGCACCACACCTGACTGCTTGGCTTGACTGCACTGCTGTCAGCTGTGCTACAAGAAACGGGAAACAAGGCCTGATATTGGACTATTTCCTAAATGCTGCCGCAATATAGGAAAGGATCAGAAGCCTCATTCAATGCCCCAACTACTGCTCTTCCCAACAGAGAACGAGTTCCCATTAAGCTTAACTCAGAAGCAAGGCAATAACATCATGACCTTAAGAGGTATGTGAAAAATTTTGCCTCAGAAAAAAGCCTGGAAAACTGCATGAGAACTAAGATTAGAATCAAGGTAAATTAAAATATATGAAGTTCTGCACTGGCACAGTGTGAATGCTTTCAGTCCTCAAACTGCTTTCCACAAAGTTAGCCCATGTACATGAAGAAAAGAAAAGGACAAGTAAACTTACTCATAGTTCGCTGTTAAAAGATGTCTCTTTTCTTTAGTGCTCTCGTCGCCAAACACAATCTGGAAAACTTTGGTTTCGCCCGGTACTTCATCAGGTAGGTTAGCATCATTCAGGTACCAGAAACGCATCAGGATACTAACAAACTTTCTTCCTGTTGGAAGTAAATTAATGCGTAAGGTAGATCTCATTGGTCAAATACTCCTATTTGCAATCTAGCATATATTTTAGTGAGACCCTGGAAGGGCAGCTGACATCAGCCATGAAGAATGCACGACAGAATAATGAACAATCAAGCTGTTTAAAGCCATATTCATGCTGTTTAGCAACAATAAAGATACACTCTGTAGAAAAGTATGTATTTGTCATGAGTGTTGTGTACATTGTACATAATCCATCCCCCAAAACAGGAGAAAAGTTCACTGGGTCTGACAATTTGAAATGCTCATTGAAAGATCCATGGTTAGATTAAACACCATCTCAACTGTGTCTGACAGTCAACACAGCACATAACACTGGTATTTAACCATAAGAAAAACTTGTTTGAGCTCATCAGTGGCTTACAAAAAAAAAACCCAAAACAATGTATCAGGTCATCCTAGAGCAAAGTATGTTCCATGAAGGCAGAACAGAAGTGAAGACAGCAAAATTTATTTCATTATCCAGCCTTCACTATTCTTCTTGGAAGATATACTTTCATTGCTGAAGCAACAGTTTTCTGCTTATAGTAGAATAATTATTTTTGAGTGGTTTGAGACTGCTTAGGACTAGTAGCATAAAAATCTGACATTACAAAAAAGGAGAAATGAGAAAGACCTACACAGAAGTCAAAGCAGTACCATGACGACAATGAACTCTGAGGCTCTGGTTTAAAAGGAAATCAGGTAATTAGATATAGATGAACAGAAGATCAAGGAACGAGAAACAGTACTCAAAAACACATCACTAAGGAGAATGCCTGCTTAGGTAGCAAAACCGGGAAATAAGGCTGCCCATTGCAGAAATGTTTTAGAATTCTAAACATACCATCATCATCATAGTAAATGCGAACATCTCCTTCTGTTGTGTACATGATTGCATCAATGTCAGCTGCTAAAGCATCCCTGTGGTTCTCAGGGAGCAAAGAAAGCTTTTCCTTCAGCACCTGAAATACCTAAATTCAGAAACACTGTCACTTAGTTTTTCATTAGGAAATTGAAATAAGAATCTTTTCTACTGCAGTTAATAAAGTGAGCGATGGCGCTGAAACCTTTGTAGAACACGTACGACAGCGGAGATGAAAAAGCACTGGAAGTTTGCGCACTCCCAAATCCTCATTCAGTGATACTGAAGAATATCCATTTAATGCTCAAACCAATGAAAACAAAGTATTTAAAACAAATGTTTAGACAAGGTACTGTCAAAGCCAAAGTTGCAAAGCAAGGCATGTAAGCCCAGAAAACACCAGTTAAGCTTGCTTCCACAATCACACTCTGCTTTGCCCACTGTTGATTTCTTGCTATGTGCATATTTCTTTGCTTTTAATTCAATTATTCCTCAGTTATCTTTCACAAACGTCTTTGAAAATCAGTTCCATTACCACTAAGCTTATCTCTGCCATTTTGTGACCCACACTGGCATTAGAAAAAGTTGATACACAATCAGAAAAGACTAAAAAAATCATTGCTCTGGGACTTAAGTTCCACAACACATTCACATCCATAGGGTTTGAGTCCCCTAAGACCTAGACAGCTGTGTTAAATCGAAAACGGGTGTGGTGCACAAACTGAGCAGAGGCATCACCTCAAACACCATATGAGAAAGACATGACACAAGGAAGGAGGAAGCTGTGCAGCACTTCTCTCTACCTCACCTTGAGTTTTGAGCCTAACTCAAATTGCCATTTTTTGAATAAGAAACAAATCCAGTGGTCACATGGAAGCAAGAGGCAATCTCCCTAGAAGATAATTGGTTTCTAGTGCATTGCGGGTGTAAAATTCACCGGGCAAAGGAACAGCAAAGCAGTGTGCTATCACAGCCTCAGCCACTGCACGCTCTGGTTACATGAGGTCTCTGGATCAACGTTACCCTAAGCGCCTGCAGAACTCAAGATGAGCAGAGGAAAAGGAGACGCTCTTTCAAAACAACTATAAGAAATAAACTCACATTTTATTGCCATCTCTGCTCAGAAACAGGAGGCAAGATTGTCCAATGAGGATGCACTAGAACAGCACCAAAGTTTTTGCTGCAAAGGCAGGCCAAGCTGACATCCAGTAACAGGGCAGACATAGACCTGAAGTGTCTCCTCCACTTGACTCTGATGCATCTGCTACCTCTGTCCCCTGGGAATGCCAAGACAACTTCAGCAATTAAAAATTCAGCAATTAAAAATTCATAAAACCCACATAAAACAGCACCGATGTTTAACTAGCCAGGTCACTCTCATTCCTGAGGCCGTGATACAGGACTGAGGCCTTCCAGCCGAAACCAGTAATCGGGTGCATGGTCTGCTTGGGGGTGGGAATGTATTAGCACAGCAGGGATGAGCACAAACTAGTTCCTTTCTTCAGCTGACTTCTGGTGCACAGACCAGACACGTCCACTATCTGCCTACACCAAGAGAGGTATGCAATTCCACCTGCCATCCAGAACCCACTGCCTTTCAATCCTTCCTGGTATGGCAGCAATCTTTCTGGGAATTGTTCCTTAAGCTTAATGGCAAGAATTTTTTTTTTTTTAATATAGTAACTTTAAGTTTCATGCTTTGAAATTAAACATAAAAAAAGCTGCAGAACAAACAATTGCCCTGTTCTACGTTACGCTGGTTTTCCCAAATTAAACTGAACTGGTTGTATTTGTAGATAGTGACAGGCTGGATATACGTTACACCAAAATGGAAAATCAACTGCTAGAATAAGAAATAGAAAGCATTTACCTCTGCTGATACAAGTCCTTCCAGCAGGTCAAGTTTACACTGAGAGAGCTGCTTTGAAACAACAGAAAAGGCCTACCAATAAAAAAAAGAAAATACATGAACAAGTAACACAATCTTATCTTTCAGACAAACTCATCATTATTGACAAGCTACCTCAACATTCCATGATTTAAGATTTCAATGCCTGCAGAGTATCACCACTGAAATGGAAGCCCTCCAGCATTTAGAAAGAGATTCCATTAACTGATAAAAACATAAGGTTTCTTTTCAGTCTATTATTTAAACCATCAAACCTTTTGATATCAGGCAAGTGACTGCAAAGCTACTAAAAAAAAGCATTATAGTAATCTATAAGTAATATTTACTCTCTTTTTGATAAATCAAACAGTCTGTCTTTCCCTGTAAATATTTTGGTCTCCTGTCCGTTTTCCCAGCTCATCTCCTGGTTTCACTCAAAACAAAAGCTCCAGCTTATAAAATTCCTTTATAAATCTGGTTTAGTGTCTAAACTTCAGAAAACTCAACTCCCCTTTTCCCCTCAATTTTGCAGGTATATTTACATACAATAATGCCTCTACATCTTCAAATAGTGTAGCTGTGAAATGCTGACAAAGTGTTTAGGACTCTGTAGCAAGTAAAAACAAACAAACAAAAAATACCAGGGCAAGGTAAAACAGGAGGTGCTGCACATATTGCAACTAATTCAATATAGATTTTTTTGTCTGTCTTGAACTGATCTTACACATGTTAAGATTTTGTCCCCTACAACCTCATGTGCTGTTTTTGGGTTGGGTTTTTCGTTGCCTTTTTTTTTTCTTTTTAAGTACAATAACTAAATTTTCACAGCAAGCAACTGTAACTTTTACATGATTAGCTTTGAAATCACGACCTCTGGCACATTCTGTAGATAAAGCATAGTAGGTTAGTAGATTCGAGAAACAAACACATGCACCAGGTCTATGCCTGCCTCGGCTCCATTTCAGAACACAACAGCTAAGAGGAGATGCATTTCCCTTCAAAGTCTCTAAAACATCCGGAAACACCTTTCTTCATACTACTTCGGGAGATGACTAAACCAGCTCATTTTCATTCTGGAATTGGGGAAAACAAGAAGAGTCTGAAGAAAATCGCACCTCCGATTCACAAAATCATAGAATCACCAAATGGTTAGGGTTGGAAAGGACCTTAAAGCCCATCCAGTTCCACCCCCCCTGCCATGGGCAGGGACACCTTCCACTAGACCAGGTTGCTCAAAGCCTCATCCAGCCAGGCCTTGAACACTTCCAGGGATGGGGCATCCACAGCTTCTCTGGGCAACCTGTTCCAGTGCCTCAACACCCTCTCCGGGAAGATTATCCTTGTTTCCTCCACAAATGTGGTACCTGGAGCCAGAAGCGGGAAACTCCATCTCCTTTACACACGAGAGCACAGGCCCACGATGCCTGCATGCGAGGCTGAAACCCAGGCCCCGGCAGGCCCCCCGGGAGGCTCTGCCGGGCC